TCCGGTGCATAGCAAGGCTGGTGCAGGGAGCGGGGCACAAGGCGCGAGCGTGGGGCGCGGGCGCTGGGCGTGGCAAGGGTAGGGGCGTGGTGCAGCAAGAGGCTGGTTCGGGTATGAGGGAAAGAAGAAGGTTCTGGAGAGCAAAATGTTTAATTTTTTTTCTTTTTTTTTTTTTTTGGGTTTTGGGTTTGGTATTTGGGTTTTGGGTCATGGGTTGTTTAATGGGCTCAATTGAAATGATTAAAGTAGCAAAAAAATAATATTAAGATTGAAGTGTTGAATATTTAAAATTCAAAGAAGCTGGGAGTGGGAACTGGGAGTTTGGAGTCTGGACGCTGGACGGTGGACGGTGGACGGTGGACGCTACACATCTCCCTTTGATTTTGGACCGGTCGGTTCATCGGTTGAATTAGTTGAACTAGTAAAATCAAAAACCGAAACTCAAAATGGTTCAATGACCGGTTTAATTTTAAAAACCTTGGCTTTGACAATGGAAGATCCAACTCACCTTTGGAAGATCCAACTCACCTTTTTTTTTTAGTTTGATTAATACCATTGTAGAGTTGATGTGTGATTGAAGTCTATGGAACACAAATTGGCCCAGGAAGAAACGGATGGGCACAGGAAAAAAGGAGAAAATGAATTCTACTAATGGATTTTGTATCAGTAGTTTGATATTTGTTATAGTGAAGTTAATTTCGATAGTTGGACTGTAGATATAATTTTTTTGTCTTAACTTTTGAATTCTATTTGTTTCTCAAAATGACTTATCTAATACAATTATTTTGAAATAGACATTTAATTTGGTCTTTAATGCATGTTGTCCATATTCTGCACTTACTATTAGAAAGACAAATTGGCATATGGTATTAAAAGGACAAAAGCATAGATTATGCATTATGTATTGCCAAAATGCTCTCTAATTTCTTATACATATTTTGCATGTTTTCTTATACATATATTGCATGTTTGCCGACACAAAATGCTGGCAAAATGTTACCAAATTGTCTATATTATGCACTTACTATTAAAAAGACAAATTGGCATATGGTATTGAAATGATAAAAGCAAAGATTATGTTGCCAAAATACTACTTGATTGCTTATAAATATTCTGCATGTTTTCTTATGCATGTATTGCATGTTTGCCTACACAAAATACTACTAAAATGCTACCAAAATGCTGCCAAAATGTCCATATTTTGCACTTGCTATTAGAAAGACAAATTGGCATATGGCATTGTAATGATAAAAGTAGAGATTGTGCTACCAAAATTTTGCCTAATTTCTTATACATATTCTACATGTTTTCTTATACATATACTATATGTTTGCCTACACAAAAT